TTTTTTTATTTAGCAAATAGTTTTCCCAAAAACATCCAGACAGATACAAAAATAAAACTTTATTGGTAAATATAAACAGTGCAGTAATCGAATGGTAAAATACTTTAAATTGATATAGTTAGGAAGAAATATACCGGTACATATCTTATTTTTGGAGATTTTAAGGCAGTGGTGGGCATGAAAAAAATAAAGAAAAACTTTTTTCTGAAATTTCCTTTTTTCCTGGCGGTAAGTGCGCTAATTTGCCAAAAATAAAATGTTATTTTTATTTGAAATAATCATTATTGGCAGGCAGTGGGTTCAGTTAACAAGATAAAAAAAGTCTCAAAAATCCATTTTCTTTTTTTAGACACTGATGGTGTTTTTGGCATGGTAAGCCCCATTTACTATCTGATGTTTAAATGAAAAAATTATCAAAATTACTATACTCGTGTGTTTCACAATGAAACAGACAGAAACAATATAGAATATGTACAACCTCACACTATATAATACGATATGTGAATAACTAATGGAACTCAAAACTCACCAGTTTCACAGAATGTTCCAGTGTAGCATGATGGACAGGTACATGTGTATTGTATACAGGAACCAGTAACCTGGACACAGGCAGCTCCATTTTGACAGCCATGGTTAGAGCAAGCACTCAGTACTAAAATCATTCATGATATATTAAAAAAATAGTGATGTCACAAATCACAACACAAACAACATGATAGTGTGTATAGAGCTTTTAGTGGAAGGGAGGGGGAGTGGGGAAGAAAATTGGGGGTGGGGTGGGTAGAAAATGCTCAACATTGCTTTTTTGGTTGTTGTCATTTGAGGATGTCATCCCAAAACTAGTGTGCCGTCGCTTTTATACCTTGTTTCGCAAACTTATTTTTTTAAAGATTGTCAGAGGAGGGCGGGAAAAAAAATAGAAATAAAATTTTGTTTTTTTATTTAGCAAATAGTTTTCCCAAAAACATCCAGACAGATACAAAAATAAAACTTTATTGTTAAATGTAAACAGTGCAGTAATGGAATGGTTAAATACTTTAAATTGATATAATTAGGAAGAAATATACCAGTACATACTTAATTTTTGGAGATTTCAAGGCAGTGCGTAATAAAAATAAAGAAAAACTTTTTTTCTGAAATTTCCTTTTTTCCTTGCAGTGGGTGCACTAATTGGCCAAATACAAAATGTTATTTTTATTCGAAATAATCATTATTGGCAAGCAGCGGGTTCGGTTAACAAGATAAAAAAAAGTCTAAAAAATCCATTTTTAGTCACTGATGGTTTTTTTAGCATCGTAAGCCCCATTTACTATCTGATGTTTAGATGAAAAAAATATCAAAATTACTATACTTACATGTTTCACAATGAAATAGACAGAAACAATATAATATATTTACAACCTCACACTATATAATACGATATGTGAATAACTAATGGAACTCAAAACTCACCAGTTTCACAAAATTGTCCAGTGTAGCATGATGGACAGGTACATGTGTATTGTATACAGGAACCAGTAACCTGGACACAAGCAGCTCCATTCTGACAGGCATGGTTAGAGCAAGCACTCAGTACTAAAATCATTCATGATAAATTTTAAAAATAGTGATGTCACAAATCACAACACAAACAACATGATAGTGTGTATAGAGCTTTTAGTGGAAGGGAGGGGGGAGTGGGGAAGAAAATTGGGGGTGGGGTGGGTAGAAAATGCTCAACATTGCTTTTTTGGTTGTTGTCATTTGAGGATGTCATCCCAAAACTAGTGTACTGTCGCCTTTATACCTTGTTTCGCAAACTTATTTTTTTAAAGATTGTCAGAGGAGGGCGGGAAAAAAAAATAGAAATAAAATTTTGTTTTTTTATTTAACAAATAGTTTTCCCAAAAACATCCAGACAGATACAAAAATAAAACTTTATTCGTAAATGTAAACAGTGCAGTAATGGAATTGTTTAATACTTTAAATTGATATAATTACGAAGAAATATACCAGTACATACTTAATTTTTGGAGATTTTAGGCAGTGCGTAATAAAAATAAAGAAAAACTTTTTTTCTGAAATTTCCTTTTTTCCTTGCAGTGGGTGCGCTAATTGGCCAAATATAAAATGTTATTTTTATTCGAAATAATCATTATTGGCAAGCAGCGGGTTCGGTTAACGAGATAAAAAAAAGTCTAAAAAATCCATTTTTAGTCAGTGATGGTGTTTTTAGCATCGTAAGCCCCATTTACTATCTGATGTTTAGATGAAAAAAAATATCAAAATTACTATACTTACATGTTTCACAATGAAATAGACAGAAACAATATAGAATATGTACAACCTCACACTATATAATACGATATGTGAATAACTAATGGAACTCAAAACTCACCAGTTTCACAAAATTGTCCAGTGTAGCATGATAGACAGGTACATGTGTATTATATATATATATATAATTCAATTTTAAATAGTTTTGCATTATATGGCCATTTGCTGTTTTATGGGTTTTTCCCATTTGCCTTCTTAAATTTATATATTATTAAAGAATCTCTATTGAGATCCAGCGACCGCCACTGATGCACGGTAGAGATTGCATCTTTAGATCTCCGATCTTGTTCACAAATTCACGGACTAGTGCTGTCTCGTAAGAATTTCGTAGGACGCGATAAGAATGACAAAATATTCTCTGTATCTCCTGGAACCGAGCCACATAGCTTGTATTCCACTATTTGCATTCACACCTGGGCTGTGTATATATATTGCCTTGGTTTGGCTCTGTAATCATTAGTGGTCGTGGGACTAGTTTGGGCCCTACCTAAGCCGGTCGAACGTGTCGTTTGGGTCTATATCCTAGCTGCACTGATGAGGCCTGGAAGGCCGAAACGGATCCGTCTGCAGATATTGGGATTCCTTCCAGTGGATGCTTAATAAAATTTTAAACCACTAACCATTTTTATGAAGATACATTTTCAACAGGTTTAATATGTGCCTTCTTTTAGAAAAATGAAAAGTAAAAAATATCTATTACCCATACCATATAAAAATATTTCAAATTGGAACTCAGACTCAAGAGTGGTAGGGCCCAAAGTACTTGAATTGTATTTTTTCATGATAATGCTTTCAAAACTGCCACTTCTCGTAGTCCATCCCTTCCTAAAAATCCAAACCTTGTTTGACAAATATAAGGAATTGCTCTACCTTTTGCTCTCTAACTTTTGTGAGTTATCCTTGGTAGTGGGTTTCACACCAAAACTAAAACCAAATCTAAAAAGTCGCACCAATTAAAAGTAAACACAATTCAATACTAATTTGCATACCCCTTTGTCTGGCATGGTTTATAGTTAAGGGATTTTAGTAATGAAATGTCTGAAATTGTTTCAATCTATACTACCATTGGATAAATTATTTGATTTTTTTAATTGAGCAATTAATTTTTTAATTAATTTTTCAATGTTATTACGAGGATACATCTTCAATAGGTTTAATATGATGTGCTTTTTAATGGTACAATTAATTTGATTTAGGAAGCATTCCTAGTTATGTGTGTAATCAGCACCACTAATATCATTCAGAGTCATTCACCTCCTACCAGGTACCCATTTATACTTCTAGGCGAAGAGAGGCAAATGCAGATTAAATGTCTTGCCCAAGGGCACAAGCAGTGTGACGAGCATCAGTCTTTAACCCCCGACATTCCGAGTGAGAGTCCAACACATTACGGCACACGCTTCTACAGTTATTTAATCCACGAGATTTCATCAGTCGATGACTATCAGCTCAGTGTGTGCCCGGTATAATGCTCCACCTAATGCAATTAATCCAGTTGTTCCTGTTAAGATTCTGAACAAACCTATATACTCCCATTCCATTTTGTTCATTTTCATTCGTTTTTTGGCATCTATAGATTCTATGAATCCTTAATCATCTCTTGAGTTTTATGCTTGTTTGAGTTTGTTTTTTGTTCTATGAACAAATAGCATTTAAAATATTGTAATCATCTGTGAATGCCATTAAATTTAAAAGTACAGTAGATGTTAGGCATAGATAGAATGACCAAAACCTAAAAATTCTCACCAATTAAAAGTAGACACAATACAATACTATTTTGCATACACCCTTGTCTGGCATGGTTATAGTTAAGGCATCTAGAGCAGACCTGGTACTCACGACTCTAGGACAATTAACTATAAATCATTTAAAATTGGGAGCATTTACCTGTTTGACAGCATGCTGGACTATAAAAACAAAAATCACTTTACCAGCAGAATTATAAGTAAAAAAAAAGCAACTTCATATTCCAAACGTAAAACTAAGAGCAGCATTTATACTGTATGTGAATTTAACTCCTTTGTAATTGAATATTTATTTAAATTTAAATAAATATATTTAAAGATATTAGGCAATCAATGATTAGCAATGAAAACAACTTGTATGTACACACCTGTTTGACAGTTGGTTCCAGTAAAACAATCTGAACATCTACATATGTAACTTGAACCTACAACAGTGCATGCACTTCCATTCTGACAAGGATTTGTTGAACATGGAGTTACTGTTATTGAAAAATTAAATTTTGTTATTATACCCTCTGAAAATCCACTGAAAAACTAAGTTAGCCTCTCCACGGTCACAGAATTGCCAGAAATCTGACTACGAAACCATATCGAAATTTCACGTTCCACTTCTGACTTTGGGTTGTGCTTCGCACACGCCGCTGAGGGCAGCGTTCCAGGAACTTCTGCGTCAAGGTAGGCCTACCCCCCATTTATATATCAAAATACAGGTACCTTTGCTTTGTAAAAAAAAAATATCGAACACCAAACAAAAATTTTTTTGCAGTCAAAAAAAATTGTTTACAAAAAAAGTCCAGGCATGTTGACTTTTTATTGCTGACTTACACCATGCACTAAACATTATCAGATCTACAAGGTGGCTATCCTGAAGGAATGAGCTGGTCATTATCCTGTATTTATCTTGTAGCCTTAATAAAATATTTTCTTTGGATAAAATATTTGGAGCTGGTCTTGGAAACATAAGGTTAAATATTTAAAGTGAGGTGAACAAATAAAAATAGATAAACATACGGATGAGTAGAGGAGGTAGGGTGAGACTAAAAAATAATGAGTGAATTGAAATTAACAAACTAAGGAATTAGAAATAGGCATCCAAAAAAGAGTACTATAATTTTTCAATAAATAACCATATGAATTTTGCCCAGACTCAGTGTTCTTATTTTTAGGCAGATTTCAGGCTCAAAATGTTCTTATTTTGTTCTTGGTTTGCACACCTTTTAAACAAAAAATTATTTAATTGTACGGCAGTATGCATTGTACTGCAATGTACGTGAAAAAAAGTGACCCCCACAAAAAATGGCCCCCAAATGTCAGATAGGTACACCTACTGTATTGTATTATAGAGGGTATTACAGTCGCACCTTCTCACATAATGTACAGATATAATATTTTGGTTTTTAAAAATATAACCTCATTTGAAATTTTACCTCAGCCTCAATTTGTTCTTATTTTGTTCTTAACTTTTAAGCAATTTTAGTCTCAGTGTTCTTATAAAATGTGTTATTTTATCACCCACTCCCACATCAAAGTATACATAGGTTAAACAATTGAATAAACAACTGAAATGCTATAACAATTATTAGAAAATAGGAGAAAATTTCAAGATTATGGTCACAAAAAAAACAAAAAACAAATAATTATAATTTGTGTTGCTGTCACTCACAAAATATTTTTGCATTTAATTCACCTCTGTTAAAGTTTTGTTTAAATTAACTAATCGGACAGCCTTTGAGAAGTCAGAGAACTCACTAGTTCACATCAGGTTCCAGTGTAACTAGATGGGCAAGTACAGGAATACCCAGTAGATGTTACTGAGCAAGCTCCACCATTTAAACAGGGTGCAGATGTACAAGCTGTTGTAACCACTATTTGAAAAATTCACATGGTGAAATACAGTGGTTAATACACAAATGATTACAAAGTCACACCCTCAAAATATTGTTGCATACATGAGCAAATCATAAAAGCACACATAAGGACAAAACATCAAAGTATACATAGGTTTAACAATTGAATAAACAATTATTAGAAAAAAGGAGAAAATTTCAGGATTAGGCCTAAAAAAAACTCAATTTTTCGCTTTCATCCCCCGCTGTCACTGAAAATTTGCTTTCGTTGAAGAATTATTATAGTTGAGGTCGAGCAAGGGCGGCACCATCTCCTTGTTACAGTGAAGCTACGTGACTGCCACGAGAGAGGATTTCATGCAAATCATGAACTGTTGCATGTGGCTAGCACAACATGTTAATTTCGCCTTTTGGAAGCTAAACATAATGTCCCTTTTCTTAAACACACTAGAGATACTGTACATCAGGCATTTTTATACAATTGTTTATATTCACTTTATCCTAAGCTACAAAAAGCATGTTTTCAGTGGAGTAAAAATTTAAAGTTTGGCGATTTAGCCTGATCCAAGGCTGACTAAAAAAATTAGAATGAGGAGGTATATTTTTAGTCGAGGTTCGCATGATTTAGTCGTAGTGCTAGTCGAAGAGATTTGAAATGTGTTACTACACCAGCGAAGTTGGGGTGGGTCCCCGGGGTCCAGGGGCGGAACCCTTGTGGGACCCAGTTTTCAATCACATAATCAACGGTTGGTTGTGACATTGAACGCCCAAGACCGCAGGTGACTGCTAGAAAAAAGAAATTTTCTCTGTGAACTGATTTTTGCACAAGATAACGAAAGCTCTCTAATAACTCAAGCTACTGTATATTTTAATAAAACCAATTTCTTCTAATATTAAATACTGTACATTTCTCCTGAATTCGTAATAATATTTATGATCACGCATATGTTTCTGCAAAATGTGTGTGTTCCTCCAAAATCACTTTGAAATGCGGTAATGTCCTGCACGATGCGAAACAGTTGGTAACTATGTTTCATTTATTTGGTCTCAGTAAAATACATAAAAACAACTAGTTACAATAAAACAAAGTAAAAGAATAAAATATGTGAAACAGGCAGAGACAGAATTTCTAAAAATGAACCAAATCAATATCAAGTAGGTCTCCTAGCGGACTATTCCGATAACACTTTAATAAAATGTACAATTAAAAATATTTAAAATCTGAAAAAATTTGCCTTAACAATAGACATATAAATTGTAAGACATATTGGAAATATAATTTAAGATCATTTAAAAATGCTTTAGGATTCAAAACCAATAAATCCCTAGTTTCTACAGGCAATTCCTCCCAAGCATGTGGAAACAAATCATGTTGCAATTTGTGGGGTTCCCCCATTTAGGCCTAAATGTACTGTAATTAAAAAGTTTCCAAATCATATTGCATAAAATAATTTATTTTTAAACTTATGTATAAGTTATTCCTATGTATTTATAGGAGCTAATGAGTCAGAGCGTTTAAACCAATATTATATACATGAGCATTATTCTGTAGCCTTGATGATAGTTATGTGCATCGACTTGCACGTTGATGAGTTGCACTCCAATTGATAATATTTCCCTCAAGACATACACAATAAGAAAATACAGTACTGTTTTGTTGTGAAGTCAAATACAGTACAGATTATTTACATTTTAATTAGTAATATACCCTGAAAAAGTGAACAAAAACTGATTCTAGGGACTTACCAGCTGTTTAACATCGTGATTCAGTGTAGGTACTTGGACACGTACAGTTATACGATGTTACAAAGTTGTTACACTCCTCTCCATTAAGGCATGGAGAATTATCACACAGATTTGACATTGCAATATTGACAAATTTGTCCATTAAAGTTAAGTCACAGAACAAGATACTGTAATATTTTCTTGTCATAATATTAGGTACCCAGTCCATATAAAGAATTATATACAATTGTGAAAGTGAGCAAAATGAATTGATGTGATTCAATTCTAGAGACTACCAATGGCTGTTTCACATCGTGATTAAGTGTAGGTACTTGGACATGTACAGACCTGCCAACCCTTCTGGAGATTATTTTAAAAATCTTAAAAAAATCTGGAGATTTACTAAAAAATCTGGGAGGTTTCAAGAATTAACCAAAAGATGATGCAAGATACCAAAAAAGTCATGTCACTACAAATCATTGGCCGTTGGTGGCGACATTCGAATTGAAAATGGATGCTTGTTTATTGCACCGCGAAGCACGCAGGCAGCGAATATATTGAATAATAACTATTAAATCAATAAAATTATGCATAAATCGGAGTATTTTTGGGGAGGGGAGTGGCCTGTGAAATCGGGTGAAAATTACATTTGATCGGGAGAACTGCAGATTTGTTTAATATCGGGTGACAACCGACAGGATCGGTGAGTTGGCAGGTCTGCACGTACACCAAAGATACTAGAAATACAAGATAGAGTTCTCCACACAAAAAAAGTGTTCCACCGTGTTCCACCGAAATGCATGGTGGGAATACGAAAAATGGGACGCCCCCTACAGCTGGATCTAAAAAAACTTGTGCCAAGCTTTCGTTACCAAGTCGTCGCGTATTTTATTATCAATTCTCAACAAAGATACTAGATTTAAAAACAAACTTGAATAGACACCCAGACAGTGACATCGATGAATACATAACCTCCTTGGTGGCGGTAGAAATCGTTGCTATTATCCAAATAATACACAAAACAATTAAAGCATAATCATGAATCAGTAAAGAATAAAACAACAATACAGCA